TTAGCACCGTGTCCGCTCTGACTGATGAGGAGGTAGAAGAGAAAACAGTTCCCCTCCTCAGAGCCTTAGCAGGGGTCCGGGTTGCTGAGGACCATACTGGCCAGCTCGCACAGGTGTTTAAGCAGCTCAAGGAGTTGCGCGAAGACATGGYCAAGATGRCGCAGCAGCACCGCGATCAGCTGCAACAGTTTGCTAGTTCGCAGCAGGCTCAAATCGTTTCTTCACTCACCTATCTTGCCTCCAATGCTGCGTGTCAATCCAGTTTTGCCCCTCTGACTACGTCTACTTCTTCTCCTTCTACTTCTTCTTCTTCTTTGAGTGTGGTTAACAGCCAAAGCGGATCTGCAGCGAGTCCAGACCATGCTGCTGCTGCTGCAGCGGCAAGTGGTGGTGCAGGGACTTCTGGAACTGTTGCAGCCCAGGGCCCGGACCCAGCAATGGCTGGGCCAGGCGGCAGCTTTGCTTACATTGACAGGAAGGCGGCGCAGATTCCGTCCAAGTATGACGGAAAGGACGACGTCGAGTCTTGGATCAGCTCCATGCGGTCCTACTTTGATGTATTGGGGACACCCCTGTCCACTCAGTCGTCTATCCTGGGGACCAATGTGGAGCCCGTCGTGCGGGGTTTCCTAGAAACCCAGGCTGTCCAATCAGGCTATAAGAGAATAGACTTGAACAAGTGGCTGAAGGCTACGCCTACTACCACACTTGAGGATCTCTTGATCAAACAATATGCTGGTCCACATGCTGCAGCTAAAGCAAGGCTTAAGCTTGACAAGCTCAAGCACAGCAAGTGGACCGACACCATGCACAGTCTGCAGTAGTACGTCAGTAAACTCTTTGCTACTCCGGATCTGGAGATGACTGCGCAGTCTTGCTTGGATGTGATAAAAGGTTCGGTCCCCTCTACTTTGAAAGATCGCCTAGGGCTCGGGCTCAGCGGATATACAGATTGGCTTACCCTCATGCGGGACTTAGTCAAGCTGGAGGCACAAGACCTCCCGGGTGGATCAAGTGGCAAAAAGGCCACTGGCCGCAAACGGTTTCCAGGCAGCAACCGTTTTGCAGCACATGATCTGCTTGAGGCTGAAGAGGAGACCCTCGTAGAAGAATCTTCTCTTGATGACGATCAAGAGCAAGACTGCGGGGCATCTTGCTCTTTGTCAGCCCATGAGTCTGAGTATGTGAATGACGATGAATCCATAATGCCTTTAAGAAGACTGCCTTTAAGAGTAAGGGACCGAGGACCACGATGAAGAATAACACTAACACTATCCTTCTTCCCGAGGGAGCAAAGATTCCACCAAAACGGGAAGATCCTGCCACAAAACCATGGGTAGATCTCCGGATCAGTGAAAGTGAGTGGAAGAACAGGGTGAAGAGAGGAGTTTGCCAGCATTGCACCAAACCGGGACATTCAGTCCAATATTGTTTCAGATTGCAACAGGGAAACCAGCAACGGGGGTAGAGACATCATCAGCACAATCTACTGATGGAGAGGCTAAACATGTAAGTACAAATTCTTCTTTGGATTCTGATCCCACTCAACAAACCTCTCCTGAAACCCCATTTGATGCTGATTCCAAGGCTGAGAAGATCCATATCCTTTACAAGGAGCCTTGGGTAGAGTCGGAAGAAATTGACTTTCATTCTCTGTTGACGCGCTGAGCTCACATGAAGCAAGACCGCGCACAAGGGAGAACGAAGTTGATCTTCTTCAAACTCTGCATTAATGGCCGTTACATCCGTGCGTTGGCTGATTGTGGTGCTACCGCCAACTACTTCTCACCGCACGACATTCGTAAGGCACGCTTGGGGATAAAGCAAGTGACTTTGCAGAATCCTTGTCGGACCCAAGTGGGCAACCAAGAGGTTGTCACTTCCACGCATGCAGTCAAAGGTGCGCGCACTAACTTTGACATTGATCGCACAATCACGCATGAATTGAACTTCTATGTCCTTGATCAGTGCCCCTTCGACGCGGTTATTGGCTTGGGCTGGTTGCAGGCCCAATGTGAAAGAACCACGTGGAAGGACTCACAATTCATGGTCAAATATGCCATGGGAATCGAGCGACCGGTCCTCTTGGATGAGCCGCGCGAGTCCCAAGTAACCTTTCTCAATGCAATGCAATTCTGCAAAAAGTGGCGCAGGCGCAAAATTGATGAGCAAATGTATATAGCCTTTGTTAGGCCTGCTCATGTGCCTTCTATTTTTGCTGTACATAATGATTCTACCTTGCATGTTGTTTCCACCTCGGAAGCTACTTCTACCTCTACTAAATCCATCTCTAGTCCAAGTGATTCTGCTGCAAAATCTGTTGTCTTGGCTGCACCTATGCAATCTGGTATGCTGGCTCCCAAGAGTGATGATCCCCCTCCGGAAATCCCACCGGAAATCCGCAACCTTCTCAACCGGTTCCCTGAGGTCTTGGCCGAACCGCATGGAGTCCCCGTGCATCCGGTTCGACACAAGATCAAGTTGATTGAAGGTATCACTCCTCCAAAGGGTTGTGTCTATCGGATGGGCTCAGGCGAATTGGAAGAGTTGCGAAGGCAGATTGATGATATGATTGGGAAGGGATGGATCAAACCAAGTGAGTCTGAGTTTGGTGCACCGGTTCTATTTCTCCCTAAGAAAGGAGGCAAACTACGGATGTGTATTGACTACCGCGGATTGAATCGAATTTCCAGAAAGAATGAATATCCTTTGCCACGTATCGATGATTTGCTTGATGCTGCAGGTGGATGCAAAGTCTTCAGCAAAATCGATCTCAAGTCTGGCTACCACCAAATTGAAGTTGATCCTGCAGACCAGCATAAAACCGCATTCAAAACTCGCGATGGGCTGTACGAGTTTACATTCATGCCCTTCGGTCTTATGAATGCGCCAGCCACCTTTCAAAGTCTCATGGATAAAGTATTTCGCAATCAGATCAACCGATTTGTTGTTGTATATCTGGATGACATACTAATCTTCAGC